AGTGCAGGCTTACCTGAGCAGTCTTCCATCAACTTGCTTCTGAGATCGGGTCTGTTGGCAGTTGTCATCCTCCCACGCCTCCTCCTCATTACTTCTTCTATTCTCCCCGCACCGATCGTGGATGTGGATGGGCAGTGAGCGTGAGGCGCGAAGGAGGTGCAGCTTGTGGAGCATGGATGCGGGCGGGTCTGGCAGCAGTGAGCGTGAGGCGGGGAGAAGGCGTGTGGATGCGGGCAGGTCTGGCAATGGCAAGCGTGAGGCGGGGAGGAGGTACAGCGTGTGTGGAGCCGTGAACATGGCCAACTAATCGAAAGCCGATAATCAATGATTGAAAACGTTGAAAACTTTTTCAATCATTGATTAAGAAAGTATATACTGTCATTGTTTGAGGGTTTTAAGCTCTTCTAGCCAAAATTCAGATTGTATTATGTGTGCAAATATTTTAAAAATTGCTCCAGACATCAAGTTCTTACTTTAATGTCAAGGTAAGTGTAGTACAGTCATTTTACTGCAGTGCAAGTCAAGATCAACAAAACATGGGACAATGGCTGAACTTAAATCATTAAGACTTAAATGGTGGTTAACTTTCTCATAAATGCACAAATTTTAGTGCTAATTAACATAAATAAACTACAGATAAGTTAAATAAGCTAACCTTATTCAGGCTGAGGTAGCTTACATGACCCTTTTCTATTATTTCGACAAAAAAAAAAAGAAGGTTGGACAAATATGGCTCAATCTAGATAATTGTCCTAAGTGAGTCATTAACCCTTAGAGCATTATTCTAGTATAGCAGATAAATGAATTACATTACCATCAACATCCAGTAGAGTTGCTTCATGGCAAGGCCAACCTCCTGGAGGGCATTTCCCTTGTCGCCATTCCATCATATATGTTTCCTGCCCAGTGATGACTTAATTTTCTTTATAGCCCCTGATCCAGTCGCATTTATATCACACTGTATGTATGTGCATCGTCACCTCCTTCCCATCGCACCAAAGCAAACGTTGTCATTGTGCGCAGTGCAGTCCAAACTTCAGCAGTGCTAAATCAAAGACCTTGTGGGAAATAATGTAAAAATAATGGGTGCTGATAATAAAGGGAATCTCCACTTGCTAGAAAGGCGTTTGATTTGTATTTCTATTAGCAATGTGCCTATTTTATTAGGTTAGTTTATATTCCTGTGATGCTATGTTAACCGATTGCCATCTGCCCACTGTAAATACACGGGAGGACTGCAGACACTTCCCAGCAGGTGGATGTGCCTGTACGTAATTTCTGTTCTGCAGGTGCGCAAGCAGAATCCCGCCGGGCATGTAAACAGCCGATAAAGACTGTTACATAGAAGTGTTCGGCCAGCTCTACAGCCAGCCAATCGCTTGTATTACAATGTAGAGTGCGCCCACCCTCTGCTGCCGTGGCCCCCCTTCACTATCGGTTACTAGCACAGCGACTGTCTATATAGAGAATGGAGGCAAGATCAGCATTCCCCTCTGCGGATCACTCCTCTTCTCTCTCTGAAGTGGGAAGCAATGTGTATTACATCACTTCCACCTTTAGCTATCATATCTCTGGCTGCTATAGCCAGAGAAGAAGCCGGTGGAGCAGATCTCTGCTTCATCAGCTTCTTGAGGGGGTCCCAAGGTGAACCCTGTCTCCATAAAGAGGACCTGTCAGTGTATATTGGCTATCACATAGGGGGCTTGTTATTCCCCTATATGATAGCAATAAAGTAAAGTTTAAAAAATAAAAGTTTTAAAACAATTAGTTTCATATTAAAAAAATTAAACCCCGCCCCCAAAAATTAAGTCCCCCAGCACATATAAACGTAAATATGCGTCTGGTGCACCAATGTGTGAAAACAACGATTACGCCACACGTTACATATTGCCGCAAACGTGGGAGTGTGAGCAATAATTCTAGGGCCATCAATCACTGTTAACACTAAATTGATGAGCAGTAAAAGCTTTTAAAGCGTTGCCTATGGCCAATTCTAGGTATTGTAGTTTTTTGCAATTTCGCGGGCGCGCACAATTTTAAAGCTTGACATGTTTGGTGTCTATTTACCCGCCGTGACCCCGTCTTTTATATTTTACCAAATTGGGTAATGATAATTGTTTAATAACATAATGTAGGGAAAACTGTTTTTTCCCCAAACTTTTCTCATAGTAAAACATAAAAACCCCAGTGATGATTAAATACCATCAAAAGAAAGCTCTATCTGTCCCCCTAAAATGGTATAAAATGAATTTTAGTACAGCATTGAATGACTGAATAAATGTCAAAGTACCGCAGCGCTGAATATTGAAAAATTACCGGGACAAGAAGCGGGAACACCGCGGTTAGCAAGTGGTTAAGATTTATTTTTCTTTCATATAGGGCTGAACTTACAAAATGTCTGCTGCTGGGAGATGAGTGACTGAATCCTCCCCTGGGCACCAGTCTGTATTGTAACAGTATTTGTGATGTACCAGTCCCTCTGCCCTTTCATAACCTCTCTACATATAGTATAATGCATACACTTTATTGAGATAAAGTCTGTACTATATACATATGAGGCTATTGACTAAACTGTTAGAAGGTTGAGGGATAAATATTACACCCCTGGAACATACTATATACTAGCACTTAGGGAGTTAGAATCACACGAATAATATATACATTAGGGGAGACATACATTATTTGTTACACTGAGTGCAGAGCTCATGCTGCGTAGTGACTGGGTGTGATAGGGGAACCATATATACTTGCAGTACTGTGTGCACAGAGCTCATGGGGACTGGATGTGATAGGGAGGTGAATGAATACAGAATGAGAACTACTGAGCAGGGAATAAACAAATATTCATAAAACTTGAATCATTCACCTTACTTCCACCATTCTAATGCTATGTGATAAGACAATGTGTTACCTTTGATCCAGGAGAATGGAGGATTTGGGGAACAGATAGAGAGCTCTCAGCCCATGCTGCTGAGACCAGAAACAGGAAGTGAGAGGTGAAAGTTCACCCTCTAGCTCCAGCTAAGCCGAGCTCCTCCCACAGACCTGCTATACTCTGTCTGCAATCTATGCTGCTCATGCACTTTGGTGAGAGTGCACCCAGGGTTGATTCTACAGTTTAAGAGATTGTCTGAAGGCACAGAAATTTGATCTTCCCCCCTCCCCCCCCACACACACACAGTAAAAAGAATATAAAAAGAAATGAAAAAATATTTTTACATGTACTGTATGTAAGTTATGGGAGATGCATTTTTTATATGCATCTCCCATCACCCCTCTCATATATTTATATTGTCTGTCTGTCTATCTATCTATCTATCTATCTATCTATCTATCTATCATAACTTCCATCATTATACATCCCTCATATGAATGTGAGTGATTGAGTGATGATGATGATTATTATACAGTTTTAATTTAGCGACAACAGTTTACGCAGCACTTTACAAAATGGGGAGACGGTACAGTTACAATACAATTTCAGTATTTCAGTGCAATAGGGTTCCATCCATCCATCCATCTGTACACGGATGCACAACCACACACACACACACACACACACACACACACACACACACACTGCAGAAAACCTTTCTGCCATGGTTGTGTCATTCCACAAATGTGAAACTGAGGCCAATTTCAAAACTTTAAAAATAAGAACACTGCAAACTAGATTAAAATGACAGGAAGTCTCTTTGACATGTATTCAGAATCTTTTGCTATTTTATAGCGATTTTTTTTCTTTTTTTTTAAACAGTACATTCCAAGTCAATTTTACAAACATTTCTGAAAAAAATATATGTCTAAATGCCTTTTTTAGATGTTAAAAAATAAAAAATCGAAAATGTATTTTAAAAATATATTTTAAAAAATATGTCTTTGGAAAATGCATTTAAATTACGTTTTTGGAATGCATTTACAAATATATGTTAAGATCGATTTTTTTTTATATGTTAAAAATATCTTGAAAATATGTACTAAAAATATATTTTCAAATATGCATCTTTGGAGAATACATTTTAATTACATTTTTGGAATGCATTTCCACATATATTTAAAAACTTTTCAAACTGTTTTTCTGTTCTGCTCGGTCCATCTGAGCATGTTCGGCAGAGCCGAAGCCATGTGAAGCAAGCCAATGTATGGCTGATTTCAACCGATGTACAGCTGAAATCAGCCGTACCAGCCTGAAGTGAATAGCCGAACAGTGTTCGGCTCACTTCACGTCGGTCATTCACTCGGCTGCCTACGCCAGCTTAGTGAATAGACCCCATAGTGTCTGAAGAATATGTAAGCAGATTCTTTAGACTGCAATGCAAAAGGAAGAGACCATTGCAAAATAGAGAGTATTATTTAATGAACAATAGCCACACATATTGTAGAATGGCTGGACAGTATGCAAAGACCTTGGCTGGGCTACAATGTAGGTGAGAGAGACAATGTATTCTTAATTGAAAATTAGAGTGTATCATTTCAGAGACAAGAGCAACACATATTGTAGAGTCACTGGACTGTCTGTAAGCAGCTTGATTAGGCCACAATACAATATGGAGAGCTGAGGCAGTTTTTTTTTTCTGAAATAAAAATTTGAGTGTATTTGTGAGGATACCATATGTTGGTATCCTAAAAAGCAAGTGTGACCAAGTACCTGAACTTCACCACAGACACATGAAAAATAAAGTTTATTGTGAACCAATGCAGGTGCAAAGCAACAAACCAGCAAACGCTAATGCAGAGTGCAAACACCATCCTAACTAACTGTTAGGATCCAGAGCATCTTCAAGTGGCGCTGGAGCTAAGCCCTGCAGTTCCTGTGCTCACCTACAGGTGTCTCCAGGCAGCCAGGAACTGTTAGGTACCAGACCACCACTGGGTGGTGGTGGAACCTGCAGCTCCAGTGCTCACCTGCGGGTGTCTCCCAGCACTTAGCCATCACCTGGTGCTTCCCGGGAGGATATTTAAACCCTGCCTGCAGTCAGGACGATGGCTCAGTATTGTTTCCTGTGAGTCCTGTTACCAGTCCTGAACCTTGAACCTTGAACCCTGTTTGCAGTCATGTTTCCTGTGAGTCCTGTTACCAGTCCTGAACCCTGAACCTTGAACCCTGTTTGCAGTCATGTTTCCTGTGGGTCCTGTTACCAGTTCTTAACCCTGAACCTTGAACCTGTTTGTAGTCCTATTTCCTGTGTATCCTGAGTCCCAAGTCCTGTCACCTGATTATGGACCTAAGTCCTGATACCTGCTGGTATTCCTGTTATTGTTACTTGTATTAAAGGAGAACTATGAGGTGAGTGCTTTTCACTCAGCCTCATAGTTCTAGCCGACCTGTGACAATGAAACTGTCACAGGTCGACTCAGTAGATCGGGTTCCATGCCTCTCAAAAGGGGCGGTCGCCAACCTTGCGTTACCATTTACCGTAACAGAACTGGCTGGGGTCATTAAATCTCTCCCTATGGGTAAGAGCCCTGGCCCAGATGGCTACACGGGTGTTTTTTACAAGACCTTCCAGGAATCCCTCTCACCTATCTTGCTGGATACCTTCAACATGGTCTCTACCTCTACTCTGTTCCCTACACAATCCCAAGAAGCTCACATTACAGTGCTACCCAAGCCAGACAAAGACCCAGCGTCTTGTGCTAGTTATAGACCCATCTCCCTTATTAACATAGACATAAAAATGTTCACTAAGCTAATCGCCAATCGGTTGAAACTGTATGTTCCGTCCCTAATCCATCTGGACCAGGTGGGTTTTGTGCCTTCCAGGGAAGCGAGGGATAATACAACCAAGTCCCTCGCACTCATGCATTATGCCACTGCAAGGAAAATCCCCCTATGCCTGCTGTCAGTCGATGCCGAGAAGGCTTTCGACCGTCTTAGCTGGTCTTTTTTGGAGGCGGCCCTTTCCCATGTGGGGATTACACGGGTTATGCTGGACAAAATCCTCTCCTTGTATCGAGAGCCCACAGCGCAGATCAGGGTCAATGGGGTCCTATCTGAATCAGTGTCCATACGAAACGGTACAAGACAGGGTTGCCCCTTATCTCCATACCTGTACATTTTGGCTATGGAACACCTAGCGGCCCACATTAGGAACAATGCATCTAATTCGCAAATTCCTTAATTATGGAAGGGAAGGTGATACAGGCATTGGAGACATACAGCAATAGGTCGTCTGCATAAAGACTGAGTTTAAAGTCCCGGTCCCCCACCTGCAATCCTCTGATATAGCAAGCAGATATCAGGAGAAAAATTATAAGGTCTTGTCGAGATGGTACTATTGCCCCACTTCAGGCTATGTACCCGTCTGCCTCTGCACAATGCTGGCGGTGCCTGTCACATCCAGGAATGTTGCTGCACATCTGGTGGTCCTGCCCACTGTTTACCTCATATTGGAGAGCTATCTTCGATACATATGATCAGATCTTTCACACCAAGGTGGACAGGTCCCCAAAGGTGGCCCTCCTGTCCGTACTACCAGGCTCGATCTCCTCAACTAAGAAGGGCCTCCTCAGATTTGTCATGATGGCGGCTAAGGCAGTTATACTGCTTCACTGGAAGTCGAGTACTCCCCCTACTACCCGTGAGTGGGTGCTTGAAATGCATACTATATGCTGGATGGAGGAGCTCACTGCGGCTTTGTGCCATCGGGATGCCAAGTTTACAGGCAGGAGCTGTGAAGATCACTATCAATGGCCCAGTGTCCTCCCTGGCTTACTGACTAGCTCATTAATGCATAATATGAACGTTATGTGATGTTGTGGTGCCTCCTCAATATTATTGTACTGAAGTGCCTTAGGAGAGACGGTGGCGGCCACGTCCTTTTTGCACTAGATGGATATGCTCCCTGTCTTTTATGTCCTTCTGTATTGTACTGTCTTGTTTACTGTAATTTACAAAATTCATCAAAATAAACATATTCTTTAAAAAAAAAAAGAACGCCTTGGAGGAATGGAGGCATTTGTTGGAGGGAGCGGAGAACCCCGTGGTGGTATACACGGACCACCGTAACCTCGAATATCTCCGCAGCGCCAAGCGTCTGAGACCCCGGCAAGCCCGATGGGCCCTCTTCTTCACACGCTTCCCTCTACAGATAACCTACCAGCCCGGATCCGAGAACGGCAAGGCCGACGCCCTGTCCCGCATGCACGCCTCTGAGACCGGACCCGCGCCTCCAGAGGCCATCCTGCCGGCAGCGTACTTCATGGCCACCCAGCACTCCCTAATCAAGGAAATCCAGAGGGCCAGTACGCCGGTCCCGGATGAGGCCGCCCACCTGCCATTGAAACAGGGGCTACGCTATCACCAGCAGCGGATCTATGTTCCTGCATCCCAGCGTGTACCAGTTTTACAGCATTACCATGACCATCCCACAGCCGGTCACAGGGGCCAACGCAACACCAAGGAGTACATCCTACGCCAATTCTGGTGGCCTACTTTAGCGGCGGACGTGCACTCCTACGTGGAGTCCTGTTCTGTCTGTGCGCTCCACAAGTTTTTTTTTTCTGAAATAAAAATTTGAGTGTATTTGTGAGGATACCATATGTTGGTATCCTAAAAAGCAAGTGTGACCAAGTACCTGAACTTCACCACAGACACATGAAAAATAAAGTTTATTGTGAACCAATGCAGGTGCAAAGCAACAAACCAGCAAACGCTAATGCAGAGTGCAAACACCATCCTAACTAACTGTTAGGATCCAGAGCATCTTCAAGTGGCGCTGGAGCTAAGCCCTGCAGTTCCTGTGCTCACCTACAGGTGTCTCCAGGCAGCCAGGAACTGTTAGGTACCAGACCACCACTGGGTGGTGGTGGAACCTGCAGCTCCAGTGCTCACCTGCGGGTGTCTCCCAGCACTTAGCCATCACCTGGTGCTTCCCGGGAGGATATTTAAACCCTGCCTGCAGTCAGGACGATGGCTCAGTATTGTTTCCTGTGAGTCCTGTTA